GCTAGGAGGATGTTTTCTAATATGTTTCTTTTTGATTTATGAATACGTGAAGCAAATAGTGCCACTTGTGATTAACTCCTTTTCTGATCAAGATAGCCGAGTTCGGTATTATGCTTGTGAAGCTCTCTATAACATTGCAAAGGTAAAGACTGTTGGTATTTGATATATTCTTCGATTCGTTATTGGCATTCATGAAACATCGCCTTTTTTTTGTTTTTTGGTTTACTACAGGCTGTGAGATGCGAGTTCCTTATTTTCTTCAATCAGACTTTTGATGCTTTATGCAAACTCTCAGCAGATTCTCAGCAGATAATATAGGAAATCTTCAACAAAATTGAATGGTTAAAGAATATTCCCCAATTAAATAATTAACCTTTCTATGTAGATAACAAAAATATTATTTTCAAAGATTTTTCTCCTCATTTGCGGCTACCCTAAATGTCAACTCCTTAATTTTCATTCCCTATATAAGATATCTATTAGTCGACACTCAAACTCAAAGCATCATTTCATCATTTTGTGTGGCGTTTAAACATTTACAATTATTGTTATCATTTTTTTTTGCATGTTTGAGATTTAATGGGTTTTTTTTCTATGATTTTGCAGGTTATAATGTATTCGATCTCTGGCGGCAGCATCAGATATTTCACCATAGGTATTCGGTTTTCTCAAAATTTATGTGGCGTGTCTGTTAGTTTTGTAATTCAAGAATCTCTATATGGCATCGATTGAACTTGGACGATGGCAATCTGTTTGCGATCAGGCTATTTTTTTTTAAATCTTTTATTCCTTTGTTATTCATAGTAACTAATCTGTTTTTGTCTTGCAGATCATGTAACAAAAAAAAGTTTGTCCCTAAAAAAAACTAATTATGATCTCCAAATTTGTTTTCCTTGAATCATATAGTTTATTGTTTGAAACTTGATATACTATAGATTCTTAAAATTCTTATTTGGCTTTTTTAGGTTTAACAGAGAAGGAAGATTTTTGAGCTAAAGCAACGTTAAAGTATATTCGCATGATCAACTTTTCTTCACTCATCATCACCATACTTGGTATTCATATTCTGCTCTTTCCCAGCATTGATCTTAACAATGTTGATTTAAAATTTTTAAAAAAAATGTTGTATTAATGCTTTCGTGAATCTTTTTATCTGGTACACCGAAATTCATCGACATCTCATGAATTTAATTATTTCCTAATAGCCTAGAATTTATAAGTTTTTATCATATACATTCTTTGCGTTGATAATTTCTTTATTCATTTATTGCAGATATAATTGGGTGAATAATTGTAGTTTAAAGTTCAAAAACAAATTATCAACGGAGGATGCAAATTTTGGCTTTTTCAGTTTTGAAGTTGCACATGTTGGAGAGATAAAAAGGTCTGCAAAAACAAGAAAACGAAAAATTTATTGTACTCAAGTTTTCATATAATTCTGTAATATATAATTAATGTTTTGTTATTCGCACATCTTTCCGGTTCTAACTTCTTTTTTTTTTTTTTGTTTAAGATGTCTGGAACGATTTTCATGGTTATCATGTTCAACTCATTATGATGTTTTCATAATGAGTTTTATGAATGGGTTTGTCTTTCTTTTTTTTTAAAGAAATTTTGTTTTTTTTTTATTTTGGTTTATATAATTAACTATGTCATGTTATTTTCAAAATTTTCAATATAACTTTCTAATTTTTTGCTAGAGTTTTGATTACAGTTTAGAAGATAGTTTTAAAAACCGCATCGGAAAACTTAGTGGAGAATTTTGGAACTTTGAAGCTTTAAACTTCATCGAGTTATGAATTGAAATCACATTTTAGATTCAAAATATAATCAAATTTCAAATCCAGTTTTTTAAATATCTTAACAATAGATTCAAAATAAAATAAGTATACATCAATATTACGTTTTCATACATATGTATTTGAAACAATAAATATCCGTCAAAATTTATATTTTTACACATATTTAATTATTTAACATTTTAAAAAGATTGAAATTTTTTTCTACAAGTTAATCAAAGATTACAAGCAAAGCTATATAAAGAATTACCATAGTTGTGGATTCCTTAACAACCCTATAATTCCTTCTTCTTTTTGTCATCAAATATTCTATTCAATAAAGAAGAAAGTAAAAATGTTGTAAACAAACTGATAAAACAGAGCATAACACACCAAACCAAAATTATCAAATCAACATTTCTACAAAAACAGAGCATGAGTCATCCGGTCATCTTCCACGATCCCTGAAATTCCTTTAAAATGTGATTTTTAAGGAGCATATTGTAATGTGTGACAAAAAAAAGGAACATATTGTAATTTTATTTAATCATAAACTTACTTAAATATATATTTATGTTTTGGTTTTGATTGTCAATGATTTCTGTTAATATTTTTCGGGGAAAACTTATTTACGTAAATCTATTTGAGCCTCCTTTTTAATATTGATGCAAAGCTCATTTTTAAGCTGATATTAATATTAAAAACAAAAAGGATTGTGAACTAAAAATCCCATATCGGATATCAAGATTAATTTTGATCCGGATTTATATCATAAAAGACCATAAGAACGAGAAATGGTAAAGGTAGGCGTCCTAATTTGAATATTATATTTGATTTAATTTGGTAATTCCGTTGACCAGAATTATTAGACCGGATAATCAAGGTGGGCGAATGGGAATATGGGACGGGATTTCATGGGAACGGGACGGAAATGAGATTTTTGGGACTAGAAAATATGTCTCATTTGTTCCCCATTTAAAATTTGAGATGAGAACGAGATATAACGAGATGGAACGAGAACGGTATGAGAATTCCCATAAGATAACCGGTTTCAAAATACTAAATTAAATAAAATGATATTGCAAATTACAAATATATTTTTAACCTACTTATTTAACTCATTAGCATGTTCAACATTTAGAAAAAAATAATCAATTGTATTCTATAAATGTTTAAAGTCTAAAATAGAAATTCATAGTGAAATAAAAATAAATCAAATATAAAGTAAACCACATAGATATCTCAAATTAAAACATAAATCCAATAATATAAAATTTTCTAAGTATATATTCATATTTTACAAAAAAAAAATAATAATAAGAAAGTGAATTATTTTTGTA